TATAACCCTAGTATTACCCCAATGTTCTGCCTGCAGAGTTCTGAGTCTCTAGCGCAGCTCCGTCGTCACTTTTCGTGTGGCCTGGCGGTCGCCACGGCTGAATGCACAGCCAGTTTTGGGGTATCTGAAAGGGTGAGACGTAAGGGACTTGGGCATGCATAAGCACTCTTCCCTGCTATGTGTGAGGTCGCAACATGTCACAACGTTACATTTCCGTACCATTAGTCGCAAGACATAGGAAGTCGAAAGCACAGCAAGCAGGCCAAAAAGTTGCTCAATGCAGCCCCACCGCCTGGCCATCACCGTGCGTGCTGGCCTCAGTAAGGCTGTGCATGGGCCAGGTATGCCATGTCAAGCGTTCGCAGTGAAGCCATTGTTCTACATCGCCATAACCAGACGATCTCCTTGAAATCCCAGCGCTGCATGGTTGACAAGCCCTGAGGGTCCGCGCAATGCTTGGCCTTTTTCTCACGGAGTCGGCTCCTCGCTAGCTTTGAGCAGAAGCCGATCATGCACAAGGAAGGCTTGCCCAACACAGCTCACTCCACCAGCCGTGTTTTCATTTCAAGCGCCACACTTTCTGGCAGGCATGCTGAGTAGGCCGCGTGTGGCAGCTTGCTCCGTGGTGGCATCGCCATCCACAGAGAAGCGAAGGGACATGCTCAGGGGGACCGACAAGCAACTTGCCTCGCTACACCTCACTGCTCAGTTTGATCGTTTGCGGACAAGATTGCGTAGGGCATGGTTCAACGCAGAGTTGGCTTCCTGCTTGTGATACAAGAAACTGCTCATGGTCTCGCACCATATCTGCTTTGCCGTGCTTTTATCTGCCATGTGTTTCCACTAAATCTTGAAGCATCAGGGGAGCCAAAGGCACGTCGCGACAAAAGAAATGCAATGATTGACTCCCTGATGGACAAGGCCCTCAGACTGCAAGGCGCGAAAGCAAGATTAGCTAGTAGACTATTGGGGCTTTATAGGGATATTGGAAAAGAAAATGGAAACTGCTATAGTATAATAGGGTAGATATTGGGGTTATGTGACGGGATCATGGAAAAGCACATGGAAGCCAAAATTGCTTGCGAGGACGGACACCGCACTTCTTCGACAAAGCCACCTGCAGGTCTTAGCCCACATCCCGTTTCGAGATTGAGGGCCTCGACATTTCTAAGCCCGGTCGGGTGATGCCTTGGCTTTCTGACCTTCGCAGAAATCATGAGGTCCAAGATTTCACGCAACAATGCATAGTTTAGGGTTTAGGGTTTAGGGCGATGAAAGTAATGTTTAAACATGAGCATGCAAGCTGCCCTGGAACTACTGACCAACATATACCCAAATATACTATGGGCGTTTCCATTTTCTTGTCCATCATCCCTATGTTTCCCCCCATTTCGCCCCTACATCATCCCTGTATAACCCTTATGCAATCCCTGTACTTTCCATGTTCTTTTCCATTATCCCTATATAACCCATGTAGTCCCTATACCATCCCCGTAGAGTGGCCATGGGACCCCAACAGAACGTCCCCACGGTACCCATCTTGGGTCACGTAGAGGGAGATGCATGGAGAAGTGATGCCATACATGGTAGTTTCCATAGAATTGGAGGACCCCAAAAAAGACCCCAAATGCTGTCATCCTTAACTGTGGGGACTCTCAGTAGTGGTACCTCGAATTTTGGGAAACCCCCACGTTGGTGCTGGGGATGGAAACTACCGTTTAGTGCACCTTGGGTGCTCAGCAATGTCTGAGGCGTGTTTCGCGTTGGAGGTGGAGGTCGGACGGTCGGCTGGGTCCCAGTAGGGCGTGTTTTAAGACCTCTGAGCTGGTGTCCACCACCTCCCATTCAGGCATGCTGCATGCCGGTGAGGGCAGGGGACTTGTGCCCTTTGAGAGGAGAATACTGACTAAAGCCGAATAACAATTGCGTGTTGCAGGTCCCAAGGTTCGGAATTTAAAGACCCCATCGACCCTGCGTATGGCAACTAAGCGCAGTGGTCCTACTTGGGATGAGTGTCAAATGATAGAACATGATTCCGTGAAACAGCTATTGAGGGGTAGCATCACCTCAGGTGCACCTTGGCTCCGAAGCTGTTTGACAGACCCTATATTACAGTATACTATAGTACTATATTTCAGCAATATATTATGGTAGTATATTTTAGTATTATATTTATGTAATAGTAATATAGTGTAGTCGTGCATTATATTATGAGGGGAACTTGTCCCTTAGATTGCGTGGCTGCAAGAAGCATCGGGGCCGAACGGCTGCAGGCTATTGAAGATCCAGTCCATGAATTCCAGACCAGCCACCTGCAGCATGCGGGTTTAGGGGTTTAGGGTTTAGGGTTCAGGGGTTTAGGGTTTAGGGGTTTAGGGGTTTAGGGTTTAGGGTTTAGGGTTTAGGGCTTACGCAAGAACAGCAGAGTAAAGCCAGGTATTCCTAGGGGCAACTGATGGTTTCTGCAGATAGGGGGGTAGGTCATGCAGGACCAGAGCGAGAGTATCACCTGAACGGAGAAGCTGTCTCCAGTTCCCCTCATAATATATAATGTACGACTATAAAATATTACTATAATATAGTATTATAGTATACTACTATAATATGTTGGTGAAAGATAGAAAAAATAGTATCCCTAAACCCTAAACCCCAATATAGGGTCTCTCCCAGTAAGAATCCGGGAAGCCGACCAGACCGGAAGCAGACTTTGG